AATATTCTTTACTTTTCTAATACAATATAAAAATTAAATTTAACTTCGATGTTCGATCATTTACTTTATATTTAATAATAAATACATCATAGGTTTCTATGCTATGAAAAATAAGAAATTGTTTTTTATCTCTAAAATATCAACATACGCTAATCTTTGTAATTTTAAGAAAATTATTTCCATTTAAATTCATTCTTTCCATCTGAATAAAATAAATAGCTAATTAATGGATCAATAGCAATATAATTTGGTTATGATAAATATCTTGAATTGTTATACCATAGCAACCATCTAATCCAATAATACAAATATCAAGTATATCCAATAATTGATATAATTTTCGTTCAATCTGATCAATAGCTAATGTACGTAAAAAAAACGGTGTTCCATTGAAATTCATTTGTCGAATTTTATCAATATATAATTTTTGATCTTTTCAATCACATGTTATACCTGATAATTCCATAAAATCACTTGAAACTGTTAATTCATTTTTTTTCATCCAGACCAATAGCACGAACATAATGTTTATTTGTGCAATATATATGGGACAATGGTTCCTAAATCCATAGAAATCAATTTTGTTTTCTTAGTAGAAAAAAAAGAACATAAGATTTAATCGTACCTGGTATGACACATACATTGATGTCTAAATAATAATTGAAATTAGAAGTTTCAATTTAAAAAAAATTATGTTTTATTGAAAGATAATATCTACGAACAGTATAAACCTGTGCTTTTTTGCATGGAGTAGTGGTAGTGAATGTCATACAGATAGGATAGACTTTAGAGAATGACTTCAACGATTTCAATAAGATGTAAAAGAAAACAAATGAAAACTTGAAAACTACAATCGTATTACTCTCAAATCTATATTAATCAAAGTTATGCATTTTATCAGTATACTATTACATATACGAACAACAACAGTGATACTAAAGCATATTTTGTTAGACATTTTATCCTATTGTATGTCAAAGTTTCTGCTCAATGAAATTCTCATGCAATCATTAAAGGATGCTAAATATCGACGGAAATAAACATGTGCAAGTGGGCTCTCCTGAGTTCTCAATTAAAATATATTAATCTCAATCCGACGGACGAATTTCAATTGGATTCAACTTGCCAATATCTACTGACTGATTTAAATCTCACTCATTCTTTTTTATTTACATCCACATGAGATAATCAGCCGAACTGATATTCGGTAGTTGAGCTCTTGATAAGGTTAGGAAAATTCTAAAAGATTTTGTCTCCGTAGGCTTTGCATATATACCGAAAAGTCGAAAACCAGAATTCTGAGGTAAGACTTTGCTGATATACAGGTCCAATAATTCGTGGAATGTCCTGAGATTTTCAGTCGAAATGAGTGTTCTTTTGTTGAGATGTTGAATTGCCAAAAAATAATCGCTTGACACACGCATCATGCAAATATCAAGTTAATTTGAAAATTGAATATCTCGACAAAGTAAAACATTCTGTGATTTCAGATACGTACGTAAAAGCTGGATCGAAAATTTAGTAAAACAAACCTAACTCGGCTCCAAAGATCTGTTGAGAACGAACCCATTTAGAATTTCTCTAGTCTTACCAAGGTATTCTTATAGGTACCATGAAAGCTCAAATAGCAGATATCATGTCGATTGGTTTTCTTCAGACGTCATTGCATGCATTAGTTCTTATTCCAGTAATGGAATTGGTACCAGTACAGATTTCAAACCGATCAATGACCGGTCAATCGCCGATAGACTGATCACATCTCTGTCCTATTCTACTCAATCCATTTTTTGTTTCACCAAGAAAAACTTCTCTCATGATAAGGTATTGAAAATTTTGTTTTTAAATCGAAAGATTCTTGATATATAAATATCTCATCCCAACAATTTTTCTGGTTTGATGCTAATTTATAACCAGTACAGCATTTATATCGAAAAGAAGTTAATGAATTAACACAACCATGTTCATCACCACTTGAAGTTATCAAGATTTTTTTGAAATTCTTACCACAACTAGATGGTTCACCACTTCCATCAGTACAATATCTTACACCATTACAAACAACTTCATATCGTATACATTTTTTATTTCGACATTGAAATTGTCCCGATGACTATTGTTGTGTGTGACGAAATGATGATTTTTCATCTGAATTATCATTACAATCATAGCTATAAAAACACAAAGATATATTAATAATTATTTTCACAATAGAAAATACACGTGTCATGCACTACTCATTACATATTGCTGATTTTGTTACACATCGGCCATCTTCACATTGATATTCTAAATTAGTACTATGTCGATATTGTGATGCTATTCAAAAATACATTAACTCTTACGATATGCAGCAAGTTCATCTTATCCATCTCCTTAAAAGGAAGATAAAATAAACGTACCGCAATCATTTTCATGATCTGAATATTAAAAAAATATGCGTGATTTGATAAAAGGCAG